TGTGTGGCTCGCGGCAGGTCACCCGACATCTCTGAGCCTCAGCGTCCTCTTTCGTGGGATCAGGGTGCCCCGGGACCCCCGGCCTCTCAGGGAGGAGTTCATGCCCTGGCCACTCGGGTCATGCGTGGGGCTGGCTGCTGAGTCCCAGCCAAGCGGCAGCCTGGAGGTTCAGGTGGGAGTGAGGGAACAGCGTTTGCGTCGGAGGGAACAGCGTCCATGGAGGTTGCCCCGTGGACGTCGGGCCGGATCCTTCCCCGGGGGGCGTCCCGGGCCCTGAGGTGTGAGAGCGTCCTAGGCCCCAGCCCTCTGTGCCAGGCGCACCCCGTCGTGACACCACGGATGTCCCCAGACGCTGCCCCGTGTCCTCTGGGGGCAGGATCACCCCTGTGATGGCCACAGGGATACACAGAGGCCCGGGGGAGTGTGGGAGCCCTGGCTGCCTACCTGCTCCCCTGGGGCCCCCTGCCAGCCCGTCTAGTCCAGGCAGCCCTGCCCCGGGGACCCTTCTGGGTGGCGTCGCCTGGCCACGAGCGACCGCATGAGAACTCGGCATCCCTCTGTCGCCCCTCACGCCGTGGGGCTGAGCCCCTCGCACTGTGCCCCCTCCCCGGCCCCAGCACATGGGGAAACCAAGGCTCAAATGTCACAGCAGAGAGACGGAGCCCAGAGCCCGTGCCCAGAGGCCCCACCACTCCGGCCCCGGTGGACACAGCCACCACGTCCTGCAGGCCTCTGGGCTCCCACGGGGCCGGCCTGAGCCAGGTGCTGGGCCCAGGCAGGGCCGGCCGGAGGGGCTGGGGACACGTCCTGCAGCCGCCCGGGACCCCTTCCCGGCCGGGCCTCGCCCGAGGGTGCCCTGGCCTCTGGCCTGGCCCCTGGTGTGCGGCTCTGTGCATCCCTCCCCCTCCCCCGCTTCCTGTCTAGACAGCCCCCAATTAGCGCTCGTTAAGGGGGTTAAGCTGATTAGAGCCACCCTCCCTTCCCCTGCCTGGCCCGGCGCTCAGGCCCCCGCCAGCCCCGCCTCGCCCCTCCTCGGTGCCGGGGTGCGGAGGTCCTGGGGGAGGGAATCGTGCCCGCCCCGGCCCCTGTGTCGTCCTGCGGGGTTCGGCCCCATCACAGCGTGTCACGTGGGCGGGGCCGGCCAGTCGGTCGCTCGGGGTGGGGGTTCGGGCAGCATCGCGTCTGTCCCTGCGCCTGCGGGGGGCACCTGCCGCCCCTCCACGGGGTGTGAGACAGAGGGCCGGGGTCCCCAGGGCGGTGGAGGCCCATCCGCGCCCTCCCGCTTAGGCCTCTGGAAGCTTCCGGGGGGACGTGGCGCAGCCCCTGGCTCACCGAGCCTCAGTCTGCCCCTCTGTGCAGTGGGCGCAGGGCCCCGCCCTCGGGATCCTAGGAGCAGGGGCGGCGCCGCCCTCCCGCCGGCCCTCGGGAGCCAGCTCCCCCGGCCAGCCCGTGACCCCCGCGCCCCCCGCAGGCATCTCGTCCCCCGTGAAGAAGACGGAGATGGACAAGTCGCCCTTCCACAGCCCGTCTCCCCAGGACTCCCCCCGCCTGTCCAGCTTCACCCAGCACCACCGGCCTGTCATCGCCGTGCACAGCGGTGAGCACCTCGGGCTTTGGGGGAGGGAGGGGTCCCCGGGAAGTCCCACCAGGTGTCTGACCACGAGTCCCGTTGCTGTAGCCTTCCAGCAGGGCAAAAACACGGGTGCCTGGTGGAGAGTGCCCGTGCCTGGTCCCAGCCCTGCCTGAGGCTGTGACTCCATAGCTCTGGGCCTCAGTTTCCCCTTCTTCATCAAAAGAGGCCTGGTGGCTCATGCCTGCAGTCCTAAGACAGGAGGATTGCTTGAGGCCAGGAGTTCAGGACCAGCCTGGGCAACATCACGAGACCTGGGGTTTTTGTTGTTGTTGTTGTTTTTGAGTGGAGTCTCACTCCGTCGCCCAGACTGGAGCGCAGTGGCCACTCCCGCCACCGCAGCCTCGACCCGCTGGGCTCCGGCGGTCCTTCCGCCTCAGCCTTCCAAGTGGCCGGA